AGGAACAAGATCTTCGCCGATACTGTTTGATGCGGCTGATACAGGGCTCGCACAGGAATGTCGTAGCGATCAGTCAGCTCCGATTCCGGCACCAGCGCATCGATGCCGCAGTCCAGCTTGCCGTCAATATGGTCATCGGTCACCCGCTTGATCGAAATAGGCACCACCATCCCCTCGGCAAGCGTCTCGGTCGTCTCGCCCGTCAGCATGGTAAAGATATCATCAGTGCTGAGGAAGACGTATTGTTTCCGTAATTCTTCGTACGGTTGCTGTAACTCGGCGCGAATCGTTTCAAGCGTCGCGCGCTTGCGCTGGTTCAAGTTCTTTTCTAACTGCTCCGCATATTCCTCCAGGATCAGATCGTTTACACGGTCCTGTGCTTCCTCACGGAAGAGCTTGCGCACGATCGCTCCGGGCCCGTTCTCATCGGTCTCTGCCTTGATATCCTCCTCGTCCAGCTCCAATGCATCGGCCGCCATCTTGCGTGCAATATCATAATCTTCCGGGTGCACACGAGTGTTATCAAGGGGATCGGCATCGGGATCGGCATTCTCAAAGTCGATATACAGGAAACTGGCGCAATTGTTCCATACCTTGACGCCCATGGCTGGATATTGCGCATTGACACCCAACAGCTCGACTCGGTTGTTCACCACGCCGCCATTCATGTTCACGATTTTCAACAGATGGGCTGCTTTGCGCGGACCCAAACCACAGACGTAGGGCAGCAAATTAGCTGTTGCCGGATCCGTCACCGCTTCGTTGAGGTCGACGCCCACCAGGTTGACCATATCGACCAGTGCCGTCTCCAATTGCTTCAACAGCAAGTCTTGCGAGATCAGCTGCTGGCCAGGCTTGAACTGGATTGACACAATGTCACGGCCGAGCGAGGCGTATTCTTTGAGCGGACTCTGCAGATACTTGGCCAGAGCGACGCAGTAATGGGTCAGAGGACCGAAACTGGGGTGGTCCTTCTTCGCGCGCTCACTGTGTTGATAGAGGCGGGCCACTTCGTCGTTGACAATAACCACCTCCAAGGGGTCAGTGGCTGTCTCATCGCGGTCATCAGTGTAAGGTGCGCCACAGAGATTGCGCTTGTCCACCAGCTCGGTCAACAGCTTGTACAGGCGGCGCGTTTCCGGTGTGTTGCCGGAGACACCGATGACATCCGGACGGCGCCGACTGACTAGGCTGATAAAAGCTTCGACGTCTTTGCCATCGGCTACATTGCGCTCACGGTCTCCAACCGAAAGATCCACGAACTTTCCGTTCTCCAGCACCCGACCGTCTTCCTCAACGTAGGCCCAGTGGATGGGCTCCCGTCCCACCACACCGGAGCCGGTAGACAGGGTCAGCACGCGGGGCACGGTGCCCAGAACCATTCCCTTGGGCTTGTAGGGAGCCTGGTCCAGCCGATACGAGAATGTTTCACGGCATTCCTTGGCCACAGAGTTCTCACACTCTTGACGGAGGTTCTCCTTCACGCTGCGGTTAATCAATCGCTCCAACTTGCCCAGCGCTAGATCTAAGACGTCGCGTCGAGTCCGGTTCCATACGTCCGCCAGCTCGCTGTAATTGTCGGATTCGATGTCTGCATACAGACGTTGCCGGAAGTGGTCAAAGTTCTCGAAGCGGACCTTGACCTCGACCAGACCTTCTTCTTCGGCCTTGAGCATGCGCAGGTACATCTCGGGCCGGCGGGCGATGTCGCTTAGTTGTTGGTTTCGGAGATACTTGAATTCGTAGTAAGGATGCTGTTCATCAATGCGCCGCAGGCCCTTCTCCGTCCGGAAGCAGTCCACTACACCACTCATATAATACGCCTGTCGAACTACCTTGCGCATCTTTGGACTCATGACGATCTCCTCGGCGAACATGGTCTTGGCAGCCTTGACCACATGGGAGGAGTTCGAGAAGTCGTTGTCCACAAAGGAGTCAGCCAGTTCCTCCGGGCGCTCGGCGGGATCCTCGGTGTACTGCCGGCGGCCTTCCTTGAGGGCATTCTGGGCGAAGGCATCGGCCGTAATGCCGAATGCGCGGACGAGACCGTACGCCTTACCGTTCCGGACGCGCTCAAAGAATGTCTTGCTGGTTGCTTTCCGGCGATGAGTCTCCCCGGTGTTGTCTCCATTGGCAAGGGTCAAATCGCGCAAATGAGAGGCGTACTGAAAGTGGAGGTAGTCTTGAACATCCTGTAATTCTTCCATGCTGGTGGCAGTCGATAGCATCTCGAACACGATCTCATCGTTGATGTTGAACAGACTCTGTAAGTTATCATAGGTCTTTTGGATAGTTGTGCGTTTCTCCACCAAGGCTTTGAACTTGAGGTCATTATCGAAGATCTCCCAGAGGTCGGTCATGTTCAGGAGCTTCTCAGCCTTAGTGGTGTATTGCGAGGCATCGGCATCGAGGCCTGCCCCATCGACCGGAACTTTCACAGCGTGAATCATGTAGTCTTTCCGGTGCTGGAAGATAAAGGGAACTTCCCAGTCATCCGTCACGAGGAATTCGAGCACCTTGGCGACCGATCGTTGGAAGGGCTCACGTAGCTCGGGCTCGATGCGCTTCTTGAGAAGCATTAGGTTTGAGATCCAGACAGCCTCCTCGCGGAACTGATCTTCAGTCAAGGCAACATTGCGATAAGGCTTGCGGGCAATTTGGTGACGTTCAGGCTCATCCAATAGCCGGATCTGGTTATCCTCCTCAGTCAACATCTTCTCGGCCAGCTGCGATGGTTCAAAAACGTCCTTGAGGTCCAGATGCTTTTCCTCATCCTCTTCCTGTTCTTCTTCTTGCTCCTCCATCTCGAGAGCAAACAGGTACTCATTGCCGTCTCCGAAGGCGGCGCGCATATCATCGAGCGCATTCTCATCTAGACCAGTCGCATCTGTGACAGCCAGACCACTCTTGGATGTGCGGGCAACCTCATAGTCCTCGCGTTCACGCTGGACTTCCTCGTCGGAGAAGACATCCTCTTCGATAAAGTCGTCCATCTCGTCGTGCATGGGCCTCCGGTGGCCGGACCGTCCGTAGTCACCGGCGGGCTCCTCATCCTCATCGGAATTGAAGATATCGTCGATGCCTTGGGATGGTTGTCGTAGATCGCGATCTTTGTGTCCGCGCTTGAGACGCTTGAACTTGGGCTAATACCAGCAGGTTGTATTAGTACGCGCGACGAAGGTCTTGCCCATGGGGGGGTCGGCCGGTCATACCTCTGCTGCGGATGAAGACTGGAACCTCGGAGGTAGTTCACCGATGAGCTCCAAATCTTCTTCATCCAAGTGTTCATCCTCGCGCTCACGATCTCTTTGTTTCCTCTTCTCCCGCCGGCGCTCGGCGCGCTCTTCTAATTCTTCATCCTCATCGACAATGAATCCTTCACGAACCTAGCATAGAGAACGAAAGTTAGCGCAGGAGACAGGGAATTGCATGTCAAGGTCAGTTCTTCCAAGCACTTACTGCACGGGCAGCCTCTTCATCATCGTCGTCCTCCTCCTCTTCTTCACTGGAGTCGTATTGATTGTTGTTGGTGCCAGCACCCTCTCGGACATCGCCGTCATAGTCGTCGGCCAACTCCTCGTCATTTTCATCGTCATCAATCATCGCCTCCCCCTCAACCAGGTCGCGCGCACTCATGTTGTGTTAGGTGTCTGGAGGCTGAGAGGTGAATCGACTTCTTGCAATCTGCAAGAGATGGAGAAAGGGAAGTTGAAATGGGCCGCTGCGGGAGAATGCTCAGAAGGATAGAACCAGAGGCTTGACAGAGAGATCAAATGGAAGGTCAACCCTGGGTGGGACACGAGAGAAGAGAGTGAAGTGAGGTGAGCTGAACTGGAAATGGAGGACTGGATGGAGTGAGTGGTTGATTCAACACACGGGCAGAGCAGAGACGAGGCTGCTGCTGTGGCGCGGCTGGCTTTCTCTTTCACCGCCCGGAAAGGTGGCTGGAATGCGGACTGCGGCCGGGGACGTGAGCTGCAGGAGGTAATCGGATTCAGTCTTCCACAACAACCCAGAGTGCAGTTTGATAGACAGAGCATGTCACATGACAATATTCTTGAGAGTCCGTTGAGAAGACCAGAACAGTTCGGTGTTCTTGACATCTTGAAAATCTAAATTTACCCCCAGAATGAACCTTTCCTACTCCGTAGATGGATTTCAATTCTCAGACAGAAGCTAGTGTGGTGGAACCCCGCCAGTGAATGACTCCCCCTGTTTCACCACTATTCCTACCACTCCTACCATACGTACTCCGTAGTAGTGCCGGTGGGAGTCTTGTTTTTTAGTACTTTGAAAAATAAACTAGAAAGACGAGAAAAGAAGAGAAGTAAAATAAAAAACCAAAAAAGAAAAGAGAAGAAAAAAGAAAAGAAAAGAAAAGAAAAGGGACTAAAAGGAAAGGTGCATAAGTAGGCTGCTGCCCAAGAAGAACCAGTCTGGATAGATAAATGGGTTAAATGGATCACCGTGCTGAGTATTCACTTGGCTATTGTTGTTATTGTCAGTTTGTCTGGAGGAAGTTGATTACTACTGAGTATACTAAGTAGTAGTACTGCCTTCCACCACCTTTTCCTCTTTCACCACCACCTTCGCCTCTACCTTCTCCTCCTCCTCCTCCTCCTCCTCCTCTTCTTCTACTCTCCCCTCTCTACCAAATCCTTATCTCTCCTTTCCCTGCTGGACTTCCATCCGCTTTTGACCTCTCTCTGTGGAATTTCACCTCCCCAATTCTCCCGCCCGGGATCATTCAGCTGAACGCCCCCTCCCCACCTGTTCTTCTGGCTTTAGACGCTCGGCGCTTGTCCGGGTCGCAGCGCCGTCCGAGCCACATTCAATCACAACTGTCGGTCTGTCTAATTACACAGTTTCGCTTCCACTGCTATCTCGAACATTACCTCAATCTCTTAATTACGGCGGCCTCGTCACGCCGCCTTCATCCTCTTCACCCCTCCTTCTCCCCCCCCCCCCTCAACCCCAACCGGTCTCCGTGATCAGTCGCCATGGCCGACCAATTCAAAGCACGCACCCTGAAGCGCAAGAATGTCAAGGGGCTTGCCTTGAATGCCGCTCCCAAACCCGCCTCAAACCCCGTCGATGGTGATTCTCAAGCTTCGGGCGCTGTTGGCAGCGCCGAAACCAACCGCACCGACACCCTCGAGATTGGCCTGGAGTTTCGACTTGACCTGCGGAGTGAGGATCTCATTACTTTGAAGGAGTTAGGCGCGGGTAATGGTGGCACAGTCTCCAAGGTTATGCATGCATCAACCAAGGTCGTCATGGCTCGGAAGGTATGCTTCTCGATACCTAGTGCACATAAAACTAAGCGATGCTGATAGACGGGCTAGATCATCCGTGTCGATGCCAAGGAGAATGTGAGAAAGCAGATTCTACGAGAACTCCAAGTGGGCCATGACTGCAATTCCCCCAATATTGTGACTTTTTACGGAGCGTTCCAGAACGAAGCTCGGGATATTGTGCTATGCATGGAATACATGGACTGTGGGTAGGTCAAGCGTCTTCGGCGGAGTTCATCGCGGCTGTAGCCCTCCAACGCACTCAAGGTCGGACTGGCTGACAATAATAGCTCACTTGATCGAATTTCCAAAGACTTCGGTCCTGTTCGGGTAGACGTGCTGGGCAAGATTACCGAATCGGTATTGGCCGGTCTCGTCTATCTCTATGAAGTCCACCGAATCATGCATCGCGATATCAAGCCGTCTAACATCACTGTCAACTCACGCGGAAACATCAAGCTGTGCGATTTTGGTGTCGCCACCGAAATTGTCAACTCTATTGCCGATACTTTTGTAGGCACTTCGACCTACATGGCTCCAGAGCGAATTCAAGGAGGCGCTTATACAGTCCGCTCGGACGTTTGGAGTGTGGGACTGACGGTAATGGAACTGGCTGTCGGGCGCTTCCCGTTTGATGCCTCGGACTCGGCGGCAGGCGATCGCGCCAGCGCTGGCCCAATGGGGATTTTGGATTTGCTGCAGCAAATTGTGCACGAACCTGCTCCGAAGCTGCCCAAGAGCGACGCTTTCCCACCCATCCTCCACGAGTTCGTCGCCAAGTGTCTTCTGAAGAAGGCGGAGGAGCGACCAACACCACGGGAACTCTACGTATGTCATCTCTCCAGCGCTGCTTAGACGGTGCGCAAGACTGACCGACGTTCTAGGACAAAGATGCATTCCTGCAGGCCGCTAAGCGGACCCCAGTAGACCTTCAGGAATGGGCTATCAGCATGATGGAGCGACACAACCGGAAGTCATACCTCGCCCCTCCAGCGCCCAAATCACTCAAGGATGACATGCAATTCTCTTCTTCCTCTCACCAGGCCAGCCCCGCGGTCAAACCTCCTGTTAGTAGTAAAGCCCCCGTCAGCAAACCGTCACGCACTCCGCAGTACGCCTCCCCCTCGTCCTCGTCTGGCGATATTCCCGTAATGGGTCACGACATGCCCGCACACTACGCCCACAACTACGTTCCCGCCAACCCCTCGCCCCGGCCCCGAAGAACCACTCGCTCTCCGCCCATATCGCTGGAGCACCTCTCGCTGGAGAACCGAGAGGACGAGTATCGCTCTGGCCGACGCCCTTCCCGCACTCCCGTGGGTGGCCCTTCTCCGGGGTTGGAACCTCCCATGCATCCTATGAGCTCTCGCTCAGCTAGCTCTCACAACACTAAATCGAGAATGCCGCTGCAGTCGGCGGCTGCCCTCCCTGTGCGCTCGCCGCACAACGGTCCGCCTTCGGGCTCTAGCGGCAGTGGTTCCTGGCAGCGGTCTATGCGCGGCGACCATATGACCGGTGCTGTCTAACGAATTCATCGTTGATGCAGGACGTCTCTTTGTCTTCATACCAACCGCTCCCCTTCTTCACCCTTTGCATCATCAAGGCGTATTTCCATCATTGGCCATCAATGTCTTCTATCGTTCACCACTGTTCCAGCCTTCTATCAACCTGGCATCTCTTTTCTATCTACATACATAGCTATACATACATGTACCCTTTTCATTCAATTTCTACATCACATTCTGCCTCACAGTTTGCCTCCCCCAAACTCCTTGCGATCCATTCCCGAGACAGTGAAAACGATGTTAGCGTTGCAGCAATTCTTCGCGTTGCGTTCAGTTGACCTTGGTTGTGAATCGTGAGGCAGGGACTCTCGGATTTCATGTTTCATATTGGTTGCTTTTTCTTCCCACTCTTTCGTTCTACTTTATTTGGTTCATCTTTCCTCCTGGGACTATATTTCTATCGGGCATGGAACGACCCGACGAATGCGAATACGGAGATGGTTTTGTGGGAACTCGTACATGCGTGTCTGTAAGGGCCTGCACTACCACTCCACCGCAGCTGCAGCTGCACTGCGGCCGGAAGGCTTTTTACGGGGTGAAAGGGGAAATGCCCTACCGACCCTTACGTGCTGCGGAGACGAGTTAAGAGTCCTTGCAATCATTGCCGGGTGACTGTATCGAAGGCCAGACTCGGAGTATTTTGTAAATAGTCCCACTATAAACCATCACCGAGCGAGCAGAGACAGACATTGGAAGCGTACAAGTCAATAAGCAAAGCAGCAGAACAGAATTAAAGTAAACACCGATTCCCGAAACATGCAGCAGGTTCACAAGCCCGATTACACCTAGAACAGACAAAGCAAGGAAAGACGTTAAGCACCCGCATTTCATAGCAGTTTCCGGATGGGCTCTGGGACCCCTTCGAGCCACACCACATTCTGCGGAGGACAACCTCTATCCATATCTCCTCCCAACATCGGAGCCTGCAACCGGACTGGGACCAGCAGGAGCGGGGGCGAGATTGGGTCTTGGGGCTAGCTCAACCATCGGCGTCTTGCCCCCACGAGTACTCGTCGAACCACCGCGACTCGCAGCACCCCCTCCGCGACCGGGAGTTGATGCGGCGCTGCCGGCCTTGTCATGGTCTGCTTGGTGCCGGGCAGCTTTGCTGACGCGAGCCCGGCGAGAAGTGTTGCCGCCACGCGATCCAGGACCGCGGACAGGTAAGCCAGTCTCCTGAGAAATGGGAACGGCGGCAGCCAATGGTACTTGGTGGTGAGTTGTGACCGGGCCTCGACCGCGACCACCGCGGCCACGGCCACGGCCTCTTTTGATCGTGCCGTCCGCCCTAGATGATAAAGTAAGATTAGCAATGGCATCAAGGAAAGACCGTCAGCTTTGGGTGAGTACTCACCGTTCCACCTGCACCTTCTCGCCCTCGGGTACCAGTGGGCCACTGTAGACGAAAAATCCATCCTTGCTGGCGGCGGCCTGTTCCTGCCAGGCCAATTCACTGTCATCGACGAATGGGTCATCCCGATCATATTCCTCCATCTTCTTCTTGCGTCGTTTCTTCTTGCCGTCAGTGAGCTCAGGGCCAGTGGACCGCGCGGATGCGCCGAGGGCGCCCTCCCCATCCATTTCACTGTCTCGGTCGACGTCAAGGGTGAGATCCTCGTCCGCACTTTCACCAGCAGAAAATCCTCGTCCAGTCTTGTCGTTGCGCTCGAGGGCAGCTCCAGCGGCTGCAACCCGCGCTAAGCGCTCCTTTTGGGCCGCTAGTCGCGGATGTAGCGCCGCGAAGCCGTACTGTTCCTCTGCCAGGCGGGCGAAGTTGACAATCCTGTTGCCATTGCCTTTGAGTGGGATGTGAAGAATTATATTAGGGGTCCGACGCTGCGAAGCTTCGCTTGTGGATGTGCTACCGTCCACGCCAAAGAGAGCATTGGATATCAAGCCTGAACCTTGAGGTAATGGAGGAGGAGCTGGGTCCTTGTCCTTGACCGGTTTGGCGGGTTTGGGCGATGTGGCATTCGAAGCTGGTGCAACTCCGGGGCTGGATTTTGCATCCTTCTTAGTTACCTTGGATGCAGCAGTCACCGAAGCGGGGGGCTCCGTATCAACATCCATCGGTGTCGGCTCGGGGGACGGCGGTGGCTTTGTAGACGGGGCGGGAGCGGGTGGTGGTCGTGCCGGTGCCGGTGCCGGTGCCGGTGCCGCCGTCGGTGGTACTGGTGGCGATGCTACGGGTGCGGAAGATGGTGTAGCAGAAACTGTAGTCGGGGGTAGCTGCACCGACTGGGATGGCTCCGGGGCCGGTGCTGGTGGAGGCGGCGCAGCATAAGGAGATCGATGGGCATAAGGTGAGGTCGGTTGAGACTGTAGTTGAATAGGCACTTGAGGCGGCGTGGGTGCGGGTTTAGGAATCGCGGGGGAGGGCACATAACTGGGTGGACCTAACACAGGAGACGCATATGGTCGCGGGGTGTATATCGATGGGGCGGCCGTTGACGGCGGATCAATAATGCTGGCAATGGCGGGTGATGCACTCGCGCGGTTGGGACGGGGAGAGATGGAATGTGTAGGAGGACTGAATGCAGGAGGGGCGGACGAGGAAGTATCGAAGGCTGAACGAATCGGATCGAAGTTCTGGCCGCTGGTCCGCTGCGAAGGCTGAGAAGCAGTAGGCGGGGGAGGAGCAGGATGATGGGGTGGTGGTGGTGGTGGTGGCACGGACGGCATCATGGTCAAATAAGGTGAAGCCGCGGGCGGGGGAGTGGGAGTGGGATGAGACGGAGGTCGGGATAAGGTCGCGTGGAGTGGACGCGTGGAGTGCATAGGCGCCGGATGATGTGAAGGGACACTGGGCCGTGAAGGACTAGCCCCCGGAGTGCTGGGAGTCGGAGCTGAAGCAGCAGTCACCGCAGCATTCACTAGGGGAATGGCCGAGAGAGGAGGCGTATGGATGGCGTGTAAGGGTTGTAAAGGTACTGGCGCTGCTACTGCGGCTGTTGCTGTCACTGCATACGGCAGACCAGGCCCGGTCGGTCCAGGCACAGAGACAGTCGCGGGCGCCGGACTTTGGTCTGGAGTGGCTGGCTCTAACTTTGGCTTCTTGCGGGCTTGTGAAGACGATGAAGCAAGATGGGCACTCGTCGTTGAGAGAGACTTATCTCGGTGGCGCCGACTGCCTCGTTTAGGCTCCTTTTCGCGATTCTCCTTGTTGGTATTGGGGTCTTGATCCTCCTTCTTATCCTTCACTTTAGTCGATCGGACCGTATCTTTGCGGTCGGCTTCGTGGTCGTCGTCCTTCTTGCGACGCGACCGTCGAGGGCGAGTTTCGCGAGGGGTACCGTCGTGTGTGGTGCGGGACTCGTGTTCGTCCTGGGGCGGTATATTGGAGGGCTCCGGGGACATGATGAGCAGCAATAGACGGCTCGAGAGAGGCGGAGGGGGAGGGGGAGGGGGGAGGAGAGTTAAAGCTGGGGGTGATGGTGCATCGAGAGGGTGGCCGGGTTGAAAGAGATACGATGAGGCTGGCTAGGCGTTACTGCGCGTTATGGGGAAGGAACTTGCAGTATATTGAGTCCGGTTGACGCGCGGGAGTGGCCCCGAATCTGCAATAACACGATTGAGATGCAATTCAGATGGTTCCCGATGATAGAGATGCGCTGGAGATGCAGGCAGAGAGAGGGGTGGCGGCAAAGAAGGAGCAGAAAGTAGAATCAGGCACTCCTGCCCAAAACAATGCGCATTAAAGGAACCCAGTAAGAATCAATAGGGAAGGAAGACAAAGATAGAAAGGAAAAAGGAAGAGAAGAAAGGTAAAGGAAAGAAGAAGGGGAAAAGGTCGGGGATTGAGAAAGAGGGGAGAGAATTGAAGTATAGCAGACGACGGCGGGAGGGTAAGAAGGAGGAGAAGAGGAAGTGGAAGAGGAAAGGGAAAGGGAAAGGGAAAGGGAAAGGGAAGAGAAGAGGAGGAGGAGCCCAAGCAAAGAGGAGAGAGAAAGAGTAGGAACTAGGAAGACTACCACGACAGCAAACAGTCAGTAACTGCGGGCTGGCGACCAGGCGCCGCGTTTGACTTGTCGAATTTACTTGATTATTGCCTTATTGACCTCAATTGTGATAGAACATATCGATGTAGAATGATTGGAATGGATTGTGTAGTAGAGTCTATTATAGTTGGTTAGTTGAGTAGTTGATTATTGGAAGAGAATCGATAGTGCAGAGGGCAGGATACAAAGTACGTACCGTAGCTACGGGACTTACTCCCATCCCATTCATCCATTCATTCCATTCATTCATTCATCATCCGATATCAGATTAAGTCACCTGACACCCTGGACCTAGCCTAATCAGGCAGTCCAACCAAGTGAGCCACTAATCTAGAACAGGACTAGCTCTCCAACTTTTAGCTTTTGAGCCTCATGCTGAGTCAGATGGGCTATTCCCCTCTTGGGTGTTCTTTAATCCTTCCCGTCCACGCATTTCCGATCATTATGCCATCATCATCATCCATCCTTTCATCGTCGTTTCCCAACTTCCGCCAGGTGTCCGACTTTCATCATGGTTTTCCGTGGCGACCGGTTTATTCTCAACCTTGACTCTGATGATGATCAAGAAGAACTCCCACCCGCCTCGTCGGAGGGGGCCTCCACTCTCGCGATTCCCGGGATGATCGGTGAGATTCGTGAACGGTCCCCTGCCGCAAACCCCGCACCGCCGATGCTCAAACCCACCACCACCGGCTTTCCCGCCCATCGTCGGCGCAATAAGCCATCTGCTTTCAAACAGCGCCGAGCTCAGGACTCGTCATCGTTCATCGCATCGTCCGCAGTTTCTTCGGACATCCCCACCGAGAGGGACGAGAAGCAGGCCATCGCGGAGCAGAACGACCGACAATTGGCCGCGATGTCGCAGGCACAAATCCAACACGAACGTGAAGAGCTGCTCGAATCTTTGGATCCATCTCTACTTGAGCGATTCCTCCGTCGAGCCCGTATCGATGACGCTGATTCTACCCCTCCATCCACGCAACCACCGCAACCACCGCAACCATCATCCAAGAACCAACATCCTGAAAAACGAACCGAAGACCATGCACATAATCCAACCACCCCTACCACCACCACCACCACCACACCACCACCAGCAGCATTGAAGCAAGATGTACATGCCTCTAACCAGCATCAAAAACCATCCTCCTCATTATCCCCGCCGTCGCCATCACCACCACCACCACCACCACCAGAAAACAACTCCGCAATCGACGATCTCCCACCCGCTCAACTGCCCTCCGACCTCCATCCTGCTGCCGCAGCATCTCTTCCCCTCTCCGGAGCCGTGCACTTTCCCACCGCCCCCTCCGCATCGTCTATGCCGAATCTTGACCCTTCGTCCCCGAATTTCCTCTCCGATCTCCAAACGCACTACTTCCCCAACATCGCCCACGACCCTTCCAGTCTCAGCTGGCTGCAACCTCCCTCCGCCTCCGACGAAGACCCCGACTCGAACTCCCCGTACCACCCCGCCAGTACCGCTCAGGCCATCCACCCAGCTTACCTACGCTTCTCCTTGCTGGGCACCATCCTGCCGCCGTCGACCTCATTATCACTTCCCACAAGTCTAGGATTGCATCACCACGGTAAAGACCCCCACGCAGCGGGGTACACGATCCCCGAGCTGGCGATCCTCAGTCGCTCGACATTCGCCGCGCAGCGGTGCATCGCGTGGCAGGTGCTGGGCCGCATCTTGTTTCGACTAGGAAAGGGCCAGTTCGGTGAGAGAGGAACTCCGCTGGTTGAGGGATTGTGGGCCACGATCGAGAAGGAGGGAGTGGTCGCGGGCATGTTGGCGGAAGCGGACGATTCAGGAAATACCGAGCGTTCCCCGAGACGGGAGCAGCAGCAGAAGGAGGAGGAGGATAAGGAGGGAGAAGAAGATAAGGTTACACCCGCCAAGGAGGCAAGTAGACGGCGACACCACGCCAGCGCTACCGCGTGGGCGGTGGAAGGAGTCTGGTTGTGGCAGATGGGCGGAGGAGGGGATCGGGGGATTCTTAAAGAAGGCGCTGTTCGCTCTCAGTGACACCCCGGACTTCTCTTATCACGGGAATTAGGGGATAAGAGGCGAATTCAGCTTGGAACGGTATGAACTCAACGAGTCTACGACGGCCTTCTCGTAATATACTGTATAAATCAACTCGCATGGAGATTCACGCCCTGTACAGCGACAAGATTTTGCCTCTTTGTCCATTTCACTATAGTAGTACAACCTCCCTTGGATTAGTAGAGTATAAACGAGCACAGAATGTAAACATCTTAGCAGGTCATCAATCATATACCCTGCGGCACTGCCGTAGCAACAGGGAGCAGAGCAACTATTCTCTCCATATCATTTTTCATGTACACCGCCTCATTCTGAATCTCCAATCTGGACCCCCCAGATCTTCCACCTGGTCTCCTCGATATAATCCCTGCGCAGCCACAAGCCATCAGAGGATCCACCCTTGCCCTCAGGGTCCATGCCGTCCTCAGCCCACGAATCCAGCCAGCTGAATAACAACCGTAACTGCCATAGCCGGTCTCGAACCTCGTCCGCATCGGCGCCCCGACCTCTGGCTGCCTGAACGATATCATGCACCGTCCGCTCCAAGACAAGCTGGATGTCTACAGCAGAGGGGCGGAGCCAGGGCACGGCCGTCAACTCCGCCGTCGGGATTCCGGAACGACGGCGCCAAATGGCGGAGGAAGACTGGGGCAGTACGAGAGCTTTCTCGCGAACGCCCAGATCCTGCAGAGAATCCAAGGCAAAGATCCATTCCCAGAGGTTGTGAGCGGTTGCACTAGGGGTTCGTGGCCCGCTCAGAGGGGTGACTTGAGCCGGGACCAACAGGCCCTTGCCTGATTGTGTGGCGATTGTGGAAGACGGAAGGACGTCCTGTACGCCGCTGAGACCAGAAAGAGTCGACACGAAGACGGACGACGCGCCTGTGAAGTTGTACATAGCCTTTCGGCGAAGGTAAACTGATTGGTCGCCTTGGCGAAGCTTGTCACGCAGGTCAGGATGAGCGGCAAAGTCCAGAACTAAGGGCCAGTAGTCCGCGTGGCGAATTTCCACGCGAGTCAGTCCGCTCAAGTCGGGAAGGAGGCAGGGTGCCGTGACAGTACGATAGATGCCTTGGGCATTGGTCCATGTTATGGGGAGGGAGATCGGCCGGCGAGAATCGAGATCGCGCGGCACCAGGCAGCGTGGTTCGGCAGCCAGCACCCACAGATGGCGGAACGCCTGTAGATGGCATTTGTTGTCAAGTACGGTAGTGGGGAAGATGGGGTAGAGCGAGCAGAGCAGGGATGCAACGGCCAGGTCCGATATACCCAGAGTGTAACTGCCACCGCCCAGGAACAACAGCCCTAGCGCCATATGTGAGGACATATGGCTGCCGTACGGCGTGTCCGAATCCACGCGTCCATGTAAAGACCGCAGCCGGCGAAAGAGGGCCAGATCGCCAGTGCCGGCCATGACAGCGGCGGCTGATAGGGCCACGACATCCTGGCAGTGTCGCACGGAATTGCGCGTCAGCTTGGCGTCGTAGTTAATCGCAGGCAGACGACAGATGCGGATGAATTGGTCAAGGTAGGCGAGTAGAAGATCGCGCACTGGCGGCTGAGCTGAGCCCGCATAGCGCAGACCGAGTGTGAAACACAACCCCGCCACGATATTGAAGAACGGCATGTCATCGCTCTTTAGTCGGCGCACGCTCCTCAGGCGATACCGTCGTCGATAACCTGGTGGCAGACTTTGCACAAACCACTCATCGGTGGGCCGGATACGATCCCACATGATCAAGTGACGTGCAAGGGTGCGCAGAAGGAAAATATCTGGGCGGACGTAATCAAATCTCACCGTTGTGTCTGGGATGTCGATCTTCTGCGCCAGAATCTCGTCATTGGTCTTCATGAAGATTATTGCTAACGCAATTGTCGCGCCAGCTGTGGCTCGATCTAGTATGTGCGCAAGGTCCACGTTCTTGGTGCCCACAGCCACAGCTAGCAGTCGCTCCACAATGTGCATGTCGCGCATACCACGAAGGTCTTTTCCTTTGCCGAGGTTGATGAAACCCAGTGCCAACCCGGCTGCAAGACGGTACCCTTCGTCCCGCAAATCATCGTGAGCTGGGCTACTTTCCTCCTGCTCGACGTTCTCAATTTCGGACAACATGACTTCGCTCATACGTCGGTGCTGTGAGCCGCAATACAGCAGGCCAATCCCCATGATCCCGGCCGTTTGGGTCAGTGGCGATAGATTGAGCTCAGCTGCACCCATTGGCAGCATCCGTGTGACATGAACGGAAAGAAGGCGGGTAATAAGGGTATCCATTGTTCCCAGGTAAGAGGCCGAAAGACCTAGCAGCAAGCCAATCGATGTCATCGTATGTTTGGGGGTCAAATACTTGAAAGCCACCCACTTAGCCAGCGATTTAAGATGGCCGTTGAGGCCCAACGCCAGAAGGAAGCCGGCATGTCGGTTGGTAAGCTCCTGTGGCTTGTTGAAGAGGATCCAAGAGGTATCAATGCCCTTTGAATTTCTCGAAATAGCCAGGCCCGTGGACACCCCGTTATGGAAGAAGGCCCAACACACCTTCTCCTCACTGAAGGAGGCTCGGTCTGCGCTGATCGTTACATTCGATGGTTTCATAACACATTGCAATGAAAAGGAAGGAATAGGAAGTTTCTCGGTGAGGAGAGGCAGGCGACCGCTGAAGGCCAACATAGCGCGCCCAGTTGGGATAGAAAGCGTACGCAGGGTCACGAGTTGCACTATTTCTTTCTGCGCCTCCAACAAATCCGAATCAGTCCACTCTGGCTCGGGTACACATTCAGCCACCGGAGCCTTGGACTGGTTTAGCAACCGTGTCGCTTCAATGAAACGCTTATCTTCGCGGAAGATCAACCTTGTCACGGACAGCCGATCTGCCTCTGCAGATACCTCGAAAGAATTGGTTGCATCGATATCCAGAGCAGAGACACCAATGTGATGAACGTCGCGTACTGCTTCATGCGACATTGCAGGCTGCAGCGGTGCGGGGGCAGGCGGTGGTCCCGAATTGTTCCCACCTAGGGAGATATTGAGGTCTTCGCGATCGATGAGCTGGAGCAGCGCCGAGCCCCAGGAGGTCGAGGCGTGTATCTGTAATCGTAAGATAGTTTCGTGTAAGGGAGTGCTGACACCTTCCGGGAAGGTCTCGATGATGTTCTTCGTGAACCCCCAGCGATTGAGAAGCTGGACCCGGTCCAGTGGCGTCGAGCAGGTGTGTACCTCTGATAAGAATCCATCTAGTGCCAATGTTCGCGGGGTGAGTGCGTAGCATTCTTGCCACAGGCGACCCTTCTTTGGAGACCGATCAGAACCGATAACAAGGTTCAAGAGTGTGAAGAAAGACCCAGTCGTTCCACTCCATGCCTTTTCCAGATGCAAGAAGATCGAAGGAGGGGCGAACGGCTCGTCAGGAACGTCTAGCTTGGATATACGCGTGTCTTCGAATTCCCAACGATCCATACTAGCCATCTCCGTTCCGAAATAAGTGTCGTCTGCCCAAGTCCAGGACGTCCATCCAAGCCAGCCACCGATCTGGGCTAGGACAGGAGCAAGAAGACCCAGGGATTTATGCGACTGTTCGCTATCGCAAATGGACAGCTTATGCTCTTCCCGAAGCAGGTGCAACGCCACTAGAATCGTACATAATGCCGTACTTCGCAAGCTTTGGCTGAATGACAGCGCTGTAGGTAAAGTCCCCTCTGAACCCATAACGAAAACGCCCGGCGGACTATGCAGAAACTCTCTAGCCAGAGCGATGCAACGAGTGAGGTAGGTGTTCCGACGATAGGTGGACTGGCTTGAAGGGGATGGCGCGCCTTGGCTGAGTTCGCTGTCCTGTGCGTCTTGCTCTACAACCCAGCCCCAAGAGCTGGTGTTCATCCACGATGCCACCACACCAGCAGAGCCAGACTCCTGGTCGAGCATCGCCTCCCAACTTCCCGAATCAATGTATGTTCCGCTGCTTGACCGCAATAGCCCCTTCTTTCGTCGCGTGGGCCTGACTGGGTTTTTTGTCGGCTTACTTTCAATAAAAGGAATCGCCATTGAGAACAAGACTAGAACCATAGCTGTCCACTCCAAATCGTTATCGTCAATATCTCGCCCATGGAGCCATTTCATTACCTCCCACCATGTTGACAGAATCCCGTCACCTGCCTTTTCAGAATCTGGTAATGCGAACCGGCACATCTCGAAGACATTCTTCACCAATTCATTGCTAGGCTCCATCTTGATCTGAAGTTTATGTCGACGATTAGCCGAGTCAATGACATCAAACTTCCCTCGCACAGCAGGATGATCAAGCCCAACAATGGCAATCAACGAATCGGTCATTAAGCGTCTGACGCCGCTGTCTCTTCGACGGCTCCCAGGAACGTTTAGGTAGATTCCATATGCTTCGTGCAACATGAGGTCACGCGGCACTTCAACCGCCTGCGGTGTACCAGACGGAGTTTGGAGATGCAAAACGCCTTGGCCATACTCGCCTGTTCTTACCGTCATGAGTCTCGATATACCGCCATCAGTCACCTTGCAAGCATCCCAGACGTCTGGGAAATGCTGCACGCCTGACGCTTGGACAAGTAACGAGCGCTCATTCGACGCGGCACCCTTCTTGGACTTCTTGGTGAACATGCCATCTTTCTTTGGGATCGCAACGCGATCAACTCGAAGATTGACAACAGTCATAGACCTTGCCTCTTGATCCACTAGGCAGAGAGCCAAGGCTGCTGAGTTGCCATCCTGTGCATTTCCGAACTCTGACGGAGAGATCGTAACGATCTTCGGTCGTCGTGAGGATGACTTGAACCTCAACGGGGTATGGAAGGAGCCCGAGAATTTGGAAGAGAAGCTCTCAACTTTGGTTAGGAGTACTTCTTCTGGAAGCCCCGAGGCCGAATCTTTCAGGTCCATGTTTTCAAATCCTTCGAAGAGACTTTCATTGTTGAGTTCTTCCAGAAGCCTATCCACCGGCGCATCAATAAAGCTGCTCGTAGTACTGTAAACTGAACCGGTGCCGGGTGGCAAGGAGCCCCTCGGATTGAACCCGAAACTTCCCCGAGTGCTACCAGCACCAATGGACTGCCGAAAGTTCCCGTGAGGCATGGAGCTCGGTTGACTGCCCGTCGCCAAATCCGAGAATGTGATTCTATCCTGGCTGGATGCCAGGTCCGCTCGTGCCAATAGAGAACTCACACGTCGGGAGGTCTTCAGTGGCACCCCGATATCTCCGAAGTCTTGGCCCAATTTCGAGGCTAGGTCGTCCTCGTCTGGCCTGCCGTCCGTGGAGTACTGCGACAAGGACAGACCAGATGTGTTCCACGCATCACCCCTGGGACCGAAACTTTCTCTCGCACCTGACGGGCGGGCAGCAGGTGTGGTAGACCCAGTGGTCATTCCGAAGTGGGAGCTCCGTCTTTTGGATCGAGTCCCACCTGTGTCTCGTCTCTTGTCCTTTTTCTTCTTGGAAGCTGGCGCGAACTCATCTTCTCGATAGCGTGCTGTCCAGATTGTATAGAGGCCTGTATTGATGTTGGAAGTGACCACGAGTATCAGAGGCCCATTGGCCAAAGATCGACTCAGGCCAGATAGCTCATCTCTAGGAGATACATAGACAATCTCGTCGGCAGAGTCGAGGACATCCAAGCCCGAAGGTCGGGTATTAACACTTGTATGTAGCCATCGAGACGATTGTTTGGTGACCACCAGGCCCATCTCCGAATGGGGATCCATAAGCGAGAAGACGCGGGGCAGCTCCGCCTGTTTGTTGTTGCGAGGCCGTAGACCCGGGTGCTGGGCAGGTGAGATTGTCAAGGATGGGCGACTTTTTCTGCCTGAGGGGATCTCAAGCGTTAGTGACGCTCGGAAGTCGGGCAAGTTTGATACGAAGGAATTCGGAGGAGCCATTGGAAGAGGGCTCACAGCTTCCTCCTCAAGTACTTTTCGCTGGAACAGCAAGCCTTGGGGAGTGGCAAAGACCGAGTCAACTTCGAATGGAAGAGGGACGACATGGCTGTTTCCAGTTAAGAAGAAGATATGAGCCTGGGACTTGAATACCACCACTAATGCGCGCGACACATTGCCCGACTGGAGTCCATCCGACCTTGCAGCTTTGCCATCTCGCTGGTCAATCTTCCGTTTCGTGCTGGGATGTTTGTGCTGTTGGTGGCTTGTGTCAACATGAGATTCGCTGGAGTCTCGAGAGCCGCCAAGGGCATTGTGGATGGGCGCACGATCGGCGGCCTTTGTCACTTTCAAAAGACTTGCTTCGGAGCGTTTGATTTTTCCCGCGGAGAAATTAGCCAGCAAGGCATGTCGAATATCTTCCTTCTCAAGATCTAAGCGGAAGATTCTCTTCACCACCCCGGCTCGCGACCAAACTGCGCAACTCTTGGTCCATACGATCTCATCTTCAACCGGACCGTTGGAATCTTCATCGACACTGGTGGACCACTTGTAGAGGTCTTCGGATGGGTCGGGGGGGAGTAGACCTTCGGCGACAAGGAAGGCGACAGCCGCAGGTTCGTGGAGACCGAGAGACCGCACGGCAGCCATTATCGGCGACGCAACTGGTTGTCGTTGGGTGTAGCGGATGAAGAAGGTCTGGCAAACGGAGCCAGAAACAGGGTCATGTCCATTGTCGTCCCGGCATGTGTCAATAAGAGAAGAGAGGAACCCCACACCAGAATTGAGGAATTGTTTGGAGGGGTGGAAGGGAGATTGTGTAGTAAGTCAAGTAAGTATACAAAAGAGGTACGTACGCGCTGGACGCGGCAGCGGGATTGAAAGTTGATCTCCTCCGCCTTTTCCTCCCCCGACAAAAACAACCCGCCCATCTCCAATCCGATCCGCATTTCTGCATTCCTCTCTCCTCTCACTCCTCTGGACCCCTCACACTTCCTACCATTGGAATCATAATCTCGGGAATGGTGGTTGTCAGTCTTCTGGACTAGAGATCCAGCAAATTCGTGCCATATCAGCTCTTCCAACAAAAGCTAAGCTTCCAAAGTCTGCGCATTCCATCACAAACCCGCAAATCATCCCTCCAAGACACCTTTAGACCATGCCGTCGCTCCCATCGAAGCCTCTGGTTAGACCCAGAGATGATGGCGGCTTACAATTAAGGTAAATTTTGTCTTGAGCTAAGAAAAAAAAGACTACCTGAATTGACCGTGGCTGCTTGTCCCCCTCTAGCTATCAACTCCCCCATCGTGTTCATACGGCAGCCGGCTACCCCCTTGTTGCCCCCAATGGCTCATCGATTATCGTTTACGGCTACGAGACGGGTCTAAAGGTGGTTTGGCGCGGAGGGAAACCTTTCGCCACGGAGAAGGCTCCTGTTGCCCAGGCAGATAAGCCCCAGAAGCCCGCTCCACCGCCGAGTGACGACGCTGTTATGATCATTGATTCCGACGACGAGAGCGTCGCAGAGGTTCAATCGTCCATCTCCAAAGAAGAACCCAAAGCTCAGTTCGAGGAAGAGGAGCCCGAAGTGGATCCCGCTCATCCTTATGAAAGCATCCTGCGCCAGATCGACATCCCTCTGGGGAGCAGGGTTCTTCATCTGGCAGTACCTCACATTCTACCCGAAGCAGCTCGCTCATCACTTGACCCATTCCCTCCAACCTTAAAAGAGCTCGTTGTCATTGCTGCCGTCTGCGCAGACTACTCGACGCGCGTGGTGACCATACCTCTGGCTCCCCCTCACCCCAACCAGCCCAAGATTGGGGTCCAAACCATTTCCATCAGCGGCGGGGTGTCCCATCAAGAACTTCCCCGCGGTCTCAGCGTTACGTTCACGTACCAGGAGACCGAGAACAAGGAGCGGACTTCATCCCGCGGCCAGCAGCATGCTCCCGGACGGTGGGACCTTCTCGTCGCCACCCATTCCGCAGAGTCGGCGGGGCTGCTTTTAATTCACCGGATCCCGATTGCAGAGGGGCATCAGCTCTGCGACGATGCGATCGAGACTAAACGACGATACCTCCCGGCTCCGGCCACGAACATCTCATTCAACCCATCCGGCTACCCCACGCCGCGCCACTCTACATTGCTTGTCGCTTTCCATAGCGGCTGTGTCAAAGTTTACTCATGTTTTGCTGCGAAGCGATCCAAGGCCTCGCGCAGGTCCTCCAGCGTGCAAAGCGATTTTGAGACCTCCCAGACGGAAGGACGGTGGCACATGAGTCTTTACCCTGGATTCGAACAGAGCGTTTCGGGACTCACGCGGCGCAAGACTGTAATCAGCGCGGAATGGGTACTCGGAGGACGAGCGATCATGGTCCTGATGTCGGACGGAGAATGGGGGGTTTGGGACATTGAAGGTACTGGCCCCGGAAACATCAAGGGTCCGCTTGAGCGTCAAGCCAGTGTGCAGGGCGTCACTGGCGGCTCTCTGACGACCTTTTCTGTCAGCGGACGGCTTCTGAGCCCACTCCCGAGCGGTCATCACTCCGAGGCTAGCGGTCCTTCTTTCGAACATCGACCCAGGTTCGCACCCCTCACACCGTCGACCAAACGTATACGGGAGGATACGTTGTTGAAAGGCGGCTCGGCCGGCACCGCCAACTCGTCGCTGTGCGGAGGCATCTCCGTGTATCAAACGAATACATGGAGAGACCCCATGCCAGATGAGGCTATCCTACTACGACACGGTAACCAGACCGCCGTTATCTCTAGTTTGTTGTCTTTGTGGCGCAATGCCATCAAGGCTACTGGCACGTTTGATCCCTCCAACCGCTGCCGGGTGTCCACCCTCCAGGACGTCACCTTCATGGGTGAGCGCCTGAAAGGAATCGGTCACCTCCCTGTAGCCGCCAGCCGCACACGCGGCTCCGAACAGCCGCCATTCGACTTGATTCTCACTGCCGAACATCAAATTCTGATCCTTGCGCCGAAAGTGGCGGAGCCCGAGAACATCCCCGTCGGCACCATGACCGTCGCTGGGGTCAGTTTCTCTGAGACCGATCAGCAGCGTCTGCACAAGGGTGAACTGGACGTGGACGGGATGGACCGACTCTTGAGCGGTATGGCGAGCGCTAAACGGTCGATCGGCATGGGAAGCCCAATCAAGCGCCTCCGCAACTTTACCTGAATTGTACCAAGCAACCTCGAAAAAAAATACCCTGCAATGTCCTGTTCAATGCGACTGTGATTCGAAGCAAGTCAGCATATCTCCCACCAAGCATTCAACGTGTGACTGTCCGCGACGCCCCGAGGACCACCCCTTTCCACCAAACAGCACCTCTCATCCCGTCACGACGGTCAAACAGATAGGATGACCAAGATACCCAATACTTACAAGTTTACAACTTTCGGGACTTTTTACCGTATCCTTCCTTCATTCCCATTACCTTGCCCCTCTCCCTCCCCCTACCCCCAAACACGGCACATATCGTAGCCCACCCAAAACTTCCGCACTGCAAGGTGGAGCGCAAGGCGAGATCAATACCTTGAAATTCCTTTTCTCCTCCGGAGAAAAGGGATAAGCTCTGTATCTGACGCGGTATATCAACAACCCATCCATCTTTTTCTCGTCACATCCTCTTACCAAAAGCGGGTTCACGAGAAACAACACCCCCCCTTCCCTACCCCCAGGTCGGTCGGGGTTCTCGGATGCCTGGAGTTCTCTCTCCAACGCATTCGAGAGTCACGAACCGTCCCTCCCCCCGTGACCCCCTTATCCAGAGAGAGCGGCCGACTCCGCTCCCCTTCCCTCATCTTCCCCCTCTGATTGATATCGATCTTCGTCTTCCTTTCAGTAGGTTTATCTGTGCTGGACTTCCTCGTGAGGAGGTGTTAGGACAGGTAGGCCGGTGGATGGGATTGGATCACGGTGAGGGGTAGTAGGATCCCATCCTGCTTCTCCACCACTTGTGAAAGATGAACTTCTACATCGATAGCAATTGTGGAGGCGAAAGGGGATGTGGCTGGATTTGGATGGGTGGGGGTGGGAGTTTGGTGGTAGGTGGGCGGATGGGGACATCCATTGTAGTGGAGATTCATTTGCAGTTGTGGTGTGGAGTCAGTAGTCAGTACATTGTGATGTACAGTAGATGGCTAGATATTAAGCGATACTGCTTGAGTCCATCTCATAGATCAATACTTACATCGGATATATTGTATGTGCTGTACACATGTTTTTCTGAAAGAAACACATGTTACGCATCCCTCACAAACAACCCTCTTCTACCCGGGATTACTACTCGTTACAGTATTCATCGGTCGTCACGAATCAGCACATGCATTTGCCATGTATTCAGACCCCCTCATCGATGAGCCTAGAAAACCTGTAAGAAAGTAATCAATGGGCTAATAGATAGTATATATTTGTCTCTCTTCTAATCAACTCATCTATATATACAATACATATAGACCCTATAGATAGATAGTATAGTATGCTTGATCACCTCAGTTAATTCCCAACGATGCAAGCAGCACGAGAAAATGAACACATCAGATCGGCGAAGATGATTTCCACCACATGGAGCGGGGATGAATAGCCACAAGGAGCTATATGTACAAGCAAAGGGCAGGCACAAAGTACCAACCTAGCCTTAACCATTATAGCCCAAAGACTCCAATTCCTTGCGCACCGCGTCTTCAGTCTGGATCTTCTTCATCTGCGTATCCTCCAGCTTCTCCCCACCGGCAAGGCGCATTTTCAGCTCTTCGATCGCCCGGATCTTTTTCAGAAGCCCACGGATCTTCTTGTCCTGCGCAGTGGGTGCTCCGCTGGCGTCCAAAGCAGCCTCCGCCTCCGCAACGCTGTCGATGGCTTTGGCTTGAGCATTGGCCTTGGCGGAAGTTCCGTTGGCCTGCTGGTTGTTCTTGCGCTCGTTGTTCTGGCCCTTGGACCGGTTGCGCTCGTGAGCCTTGTCGCCGCGGCGGTCGGGGCTGCGGGTGGACTGGCCGGCAGCCTGCTCACCCTCGCCCTGCTCATCCTTCTGCTTCTTGGCCTCACGCTTCTTCTTGTTGCGGGCAGCTGACTTGGACAACTTCTCCGGGTGCTCAACGCCCGGAGGCAGAGCCACGCCTCCTCCAGGAGCGGCTCCCGGAGGCAAGAACTCCTCGGCAGGTTCGGCACCAGGCACATCACGTCTGCGAGAGCGACCGAATCCGTTCACAACACCACCGGTAGGCGCGCCTTCCCGGATATACGCGGCACCACCCTGATCTTCACGCTTGAAAGCGAGAGGAGTGAGCTGGCCGCGAGCGCCGGGAGGACGGTACGCACCCGCGGGCTTGACGGGAGCCTTCTTGGTGCTGAGGTAGGCCACGGCAGAGGGGTGAGGGGTAGGTAGAGGGCTGAAAGGGTCGCCCAATGGGTGCTGCTCCAGAGACTGGGGACGCCAAAACACATCATAGAGCTCGGTCATCTCCTCATTGTACATCAGAGCACCGCTCACGTGCCAAATACGAAGTCCGTTGTCGACCCGCAGACGGGGGCTGGTCGTGGCGGTTAGAATGAACTGACCGTCGGGAGACCAATTGCAGACACTGGAGTTAGAAGCCTCCACAGTGGCAATCTTGTGGTAGTTCTTGTCCATGTCGTAGAGATCCATCTGACCCGCAAGGTTACCGAAACCGGCCACAAGGACGAACCGGCCATGGGGAGAGAACTGGATGGTGTTACGAGGGCCGAGCGGGAAGCTGTGCTTGGGAACACCGCGGAAGTTGAAAATGGTGGTTTTGGCCGGCATGTAACCATAGACCACACCAAACTCCTTCGAGTTGGGAGACCAGGTCACATCGTGAATAGGGCCTTCCTTGTCTATGGCGACAACGTTAGTACACACTTGTCTGACTTTATAACACATGCACCAGTTACATACCCAGATCCACACGTGAGTCGAAGCCACCGCCTGCACTGAGCAAGTAGAGGGTGGTCTCGCCGTAGTAGCTCTTGCCCGAGCGATCGACATCCGTCTGGGCCAACACAATCAAGGTTGTGCCCTGCTCGTTCCACTTCAGCTGGACCTTGTCACCCTTGAAGAAAGTCTTCTGCGAGACAGGTGCTCCAAACTGAGGCACCAAAAACACCTTGACTGCGGCAGGTTGTCCCTAGAAACTCAATGTCAGGATACAATCGACGCGGTTGCTAAATGAGGTCTGCATGCATACCTTGCGCTCCGGAATGAAGACAGCAATGGAAGTGTTCTTGCCAGGCGAGATGGCGAAATCAGCGACCCCCTCAACTCGCAGCTTGTTCCAGACCTGAGAGAGGTTCTCGCTCTGGTAGAACTGGACTTCATTGGTAACGACGCGCGCGCAATGACGCTCATCGGAGGTGTACTGAAGGTTCCAGCCCGTCTGCGACTTCTGGACGAAGCTGCCCACAACTACATTCTCATCTCCGCTGGACACGACCTGCCAGACCTTCAGATTCTTCACAGCATCGCCATTGGCATCCTTGGTGGGACGTTGCCAGGTGATCAGATAGGTTCCAAGCGGCGAGAAACCCAGCTCGAAAACGTTCTCCGCGGCAATGGTGGAGACAACGTGCCCGACGGACGGATCGATGATTGTCACCCTGAGATATGGTCAGCCACGCTGTTGTTTGGCTGCTATGCAGGAAGAGCTAACATACTTATCGGGAGAGGCCCAGGCGAAATAGCGACCGCAGGGAGAGTAAGCGCTACAACGGAGGTTTCCCTCAGGCCTGTAACCCACGAACCACAATCAGTGAGTTTTCTTGAAGGAGAACGGTGCCAATGGCCCTGGGTTGATAGGACATACTTCTCGAATCCCGACAAAGGTCCATAGACTGGGGCCGCATCCAAGATGCCAACTCCCTTAACCGTACGGTCTATGACTGATTAGTGTTCTGTTCGATATGTTGTGATTCGGCAACTCGATCGACTGCAGGGATGTCGTCGTGAAGAGCATGAGGAGGGGTAGGATTCAAGCGGGATAAGACCTACAAGCCAATTGTGTAGGGGCTGCCATTTTCAACGATGTGTGATATCGGACGATACACGGAATCGCGAATTCACGAAGCTAGCGGAAGACGCGCGCCGAAGGTCGCACTGATAGTTCAAGAAATCTGACAGAATCCTCTGAAACCCAAAGTGTGGACGAAACAATGCCCGCAATCTAAATGTGGAACGGACGGGCCGATGGTGGCAGAAGATGGGGAAGAAAAGAAAAAGCCGATCGAATCGCGCGAAGGATCGAATCCGAGGATAGGTTGCTACTAGTGAAGTAGCTGGAGAAGCAGGTGGCAGAGTGAACAAAGCCTGGACGAGGACGTTTGAGGATGTTTGACAACAGGCACGCGCGCACGCACACAACAGATAGGCACAAAGACCGTGTAGACTGGGCGGGTGAAGCTTGGCAAGTAGAAGGGAGGTAGATCTTGCGCTGTGAAAAGTCCCAGAGTATTCCTTGTGCTTGACAAGTCAATGCCAGCTGGTGAAGATGGACAGGGAAGACTGAATTGGAACTGTCTGAGGACGAAGACGAAGACAAGAGAAGAGGAGGTAGAGAGTGGAAGTGGGGGGGG